TCATGTAAATCTCTTGTTTTTGTTTATTTTACAAGATCATTCTAACATAATTATATATGATTTTAACTTCGTTATCACTATTATAACTTTTTTGAATATTAGTTATTTTTAAAAACTTCGACAATTTATTATTAATTAAAATTTTAAAATGATGTATGAGGCCTAATTTTAATAAGTTATTTAGCATATAGCATTACATAAAAGATGTATGAGGCCTAATTTTACCGAAGTATTGGCCTATTGTGGTCCTTATTGGGTTTAAGAAACACCGAGTCAAGTACCGACACAATGCGTTGCAAACAAGTTTGATTTCCCCCCCCCCCCTCTCTTTATTGCCCACTATTCTACTCTTTGTTTGAATCGATGTTTTGTTGTCACTATCTGCTCATCAACGTGCTGGTACAAAGCAGAATTAACCAATAGAATTCCATTACGCTAATCTGAAAAGTGCATCAATAGCACTGGAAAACGAGACAAGTTTGGCATGAAGGAAGCTGCACAAACTAAAAGAAAACAACACACGAAGAAAATGACCTAAAATCTTCTTGTCGAATTAATGCTGTTAGAGGGGCAAACATGGTCTAGAAAACAGGCAAAACAATCAGGCATATGGCTATATATTTGTTGTCTTTCACTAAAAGGCGGCGGGAACCATAGTGATGTGTCTGAGAGGATGAGAAACATCGGTACCACCAGCGTGCTGCACGAACTCGGCCGGGGTGAATGTAGTCCCATGGCAGACACAGATGATGCAGACTTCAGAATTGGTATATCTGTATAGAAAACCATTGATGGTTTTACCATTGGGGCCATTGCCCGTCGTCGAGACGCAGGGCATGTTCCGAAGGGAAAGGACGTGGTGGTCGTTAGTGGGCAGTGGAGGCCTAGGACTTAGGAGGCTTCCCCTTGGTATCTTTTGAGAAAGTGGTGGTTGTTGCAGTTTCGTTTGTCGAAACAGGTTTGCTGTTAACATTAGACTCGGTTTGGGGTTTGGGTTATTTCTTCGGATTCGATGGAGTGCACACTGTGGCATTCAATGATGGTGTTTTCTCGATGCTTTGGACGGAGTCCATTTGGTGAGAAGTAGCACTTTGTTCAGATTGGCTCTTTGGATTGCTCGCCGCTGAACAATTCATTGTGGCGTGGGGGTTCCGGTTTCACTGCTGCAACCACCTGAAAATGAATGGGAAATGAAATATAAGAACAAATGGAGAGGATTGATAATCATCACATGATTTCATCTAACGTTTTGAATAGCCCTTTTGATTTTTAAAACATAAATAATAACATAATATTTGCATTAAAAAATGGTAAAGGACGTACCTTGATTAGAATAGCTTTGAAGATCCGAACCCGCAGAAGAAATACACATTGTAGACCCGTTTGAGCCTGTTTTCTTCTTCCTTTCATATCTGCTAATATTCTGTTCTGAATAATATCCATTTACACCATTCTGACCCGATTCCCAAGCCGTCTGAAACGACGGAAACCCGCCATTCACAGCCACCGCCAGCGGCTGCACAACGCCCTTCTCATTCCCAGTTACATCGCCCCAACAAGGCACAGCATTTACGCAAGAATACGCAAACCCATTGGCGAGCGGCCCGAACTGGATCTGCAAATACGGGCCCGGGACCCGCACCGGGATTACCGGACATACCAACGGGTTATTCAGCTTGCCGCTCGAATTACGATTTACGTTACCAGAAAACTCTTCAATTGCATTCCCTTTCTTCCATTGCACCGGCGCCGTTGTCTTTGCTTTGATACTCTGCTCCGGTGACATATCCCTCTCTTTTGCTGCTTGTGTTCTCTCTTCTTCCTCGCTTCTTGTCGCCTCAAAGCTTGAACCTCACGTTTCGTTTGGGGATCAAAAACAACGCTTTCTCCGAGATCTGCGACGGAGTTATTGCTGGGTTTTGGTTCGTTTTTTATGAGCTTTAGTTTCTCGGCTTTTCCAAAGCTTCCTCCGATGGATAATCCCAGGTCTAGCTCAATTTCATCCTCCCATTATCCCACAGTTTTTTTTCCATTTTCAAATTGCTCCGAAAACAAAACCAACGATTCTTGCTAAAACCTCATGCTACAAATGAAGAATCGAAATATATTAAAAACACAATGAAGATTGTACTCTCTTTGTACCGATATTTGCTTTTATATGGCTTCTTTGCTTGAATTTAGATTTTCATGGGAGATAAAAGGGCAGAGGGAAGGCCACGTGGCGTGATGGGAGAAGGGGATGAAGGACTGGTGTTGACACGTAAGAGTGTTTTCGGACAGATGTGGCGGGATTGGAAGTTCTCTGCCCTCGGATATAGGGTGACTAAAATTTGATTTGAAAAATTAATTTTTTTGATTTATTTTGATTCGAATTGAGTTCACATTTCAATTTCATAAATTTGAATCGAATTTTTTTTAAATCTAAATCAAATAATAAAATATAACTCGAATAATTTAAAAAATTTTGACTTTACTCGATTCAATCTGATCGAACACTCACCCTACTCGGATATCTGCCCATTTGGTGTCCATCCATCTCATTATGACACGTTTCAGCAATTTGATTTTACTAGTATGTTTTTGGTTTAATTCCAAATAAGTTCTCAAACTATAGCATAATCTTTATTTTGGTAGCCAAATCTCTAATCATTCTAATTAAATCTTTAAAAAATTAACATAACATTAATCAGATCCTTCATCAATCTAGCTCGGGACTTTAATTTCAGCTCACGTAGGGTATGTTTAAACATATATTATTAAAAATAAATAATATATATTACCTTATATTTATCTTAGATTAATCAAAAGAAATAAAAAACCCAAATTTTGTTATTAAATATTTTTAACAGTTATATTCAAGTCTGAATTTACATTTAATATTTCAATTAACGATAATATAATAATAATTTAATTAAAATATTTTTAAATTAAAGTACAAATCTGCAACCTAAGAGGTTACGTGAAGATGTTTGTTGAAATCGACATTTTTTATGAACCTTCCACTAAATTTTAATATTAAAAAATTACACTGATTAAAGTTGCATTGGTGAATCTGCCAGTTTATTTCATGTTCATATTTTCTATCCCGAAATGGATAGCTGAGTTGATTAATTCGCTTACAGCGAGATTTTTGTGGAATATTAAGTCTATTAGAGGGATTCATTGGATAAAGTGGACTAACGTCTGTGGTCCAAAATCTCATGGGGTTTGAACATTTTCGACGTCAATACTAAAATTAGTGCGTTACTGAATAAATGGATTTGACGTTTTTATGAGGATAATGAATGTTTGTGGAAAAAGATTATAATGGAGAGGTATAATTATGGCCCACAACTGCTTTTGCCTAGAGCTGTCAATAAGCGAAATTCTTCTTGGGTGTGGCGTGACATCATTAACCCGGCTGTTCTGTATGACAATGGATTTGTATCGGAGGTAAGATGTGTTATGGGTAATGGGTCCATAGTTGAATTCTGGTCAGATCATTAGACTGATGTTCGTTCTTTAAAAGATTCATTTCCAATAATATTTGGGGTAGCGGTAAAAAAATCTGATAGTATTACAGAGTTTAGGCGTTGGATTGGCAATGTATGGGAGTGGAATATTCAACTCAGAAGAGAATTATTTGTTTGGGAATTGGATGTTTGGAGTGAGTTCTTGTCAGTATTGGAAAGAGCTGTCGGGTCTAGTTCAGAATCAGACAAATTAAAGTGGTCAAGCTCGTCTGATGAAAGTATAATTCGAAGGATTATTGTTCTAGATTGGATTCAGTTGGGAAAGTGGCAGATCCGAGTTGGAATCCGGTCTGGTGTAAGTAAATTCCATTAAAAATTTCTGCTTTTGTGTGGAAAGCCATGCATCAAAGACTGCTAGTAATTTCTGAATTGGTTAAGCGAGGTATTGATTGCAACGATAACCAGCTTTGCATTTTTTGTAATTGTTGTATAGAAGATCAAAGTCATTTGTTGATTCATTGTGATGTCTCGTGGCATGTATGGCAACGATGGTGCAAGGTATGGGAAGTCGATATTGTGTTTCCTAGAAATGTTAATGAGCTAATTATAATCTGGTTTTCTCATAATGTTAGAAGGAAAAATCTGTTGTTATGGCAAATCGGATTTTTTGTTGATTTGGAACTTATGGCTTGGTAGAAATAAATCTAGGTTCGAGGGCAAATTATTCTGAGTAGATCAGATCTTCTATTCAGTTCTGTTGCAAATAGGAATGTGGATGCACTTCTTGTGGCCAGTGAAATTTCCATGCGTACAAGATTTTGTTCGTTGTCCAGGTTCCTTTCTTTTTAGCTGATGACAGTGTTGGTTTTACCTGTGTTTGTTATACTGCTTATATATGGTGTTGTTATGCTGGTTTTCATTGGAGTTAATTGCAGCCGGTTTCATACTTCGTTGTAGTCTTATGCTAGTTAGTGTAGGCTTTGTTAAGGGATTTGTATATTAAGTTGTATCTCGTTAGCTTGACCAGATTTTATTTTGATTATCAGGTTGGGGTATTTGTTTGATTGCTGCAATTGAAAGTTCTATTCGACTGTAATTACCACCCTATGGCACACTCATTTTCCTCTAAAAAGGCTAGGGAGATTTTTTAATGAGGTTCTTTGGGTGGTGTACTTTGGTCCTTATTTATACAAAATACATCTCTTTCAAAAAAAAAAAAACTTATTTGTGATTTTCCTTTTCCTTTAAAATTGGTGCAAATCGCTAAGAAAAGAAATTAGGAGTAGGGGAATGACGCGTGGCATATATGCATGAAGAGCTGGTGATGAGTCAGAAACAGCTATGATAGCGTAGGCACTTTCTGAACACTTGTTCCAGTATACAGATACGTGGTGCGAGATCTCCTTGTCCCCGCGAATCTCGACCGTTCTGTTCAAACATTCAATTATTCTGCCAGAATAAACAATAATCCGACTGATATGGACAATCCATATCACTTGCAAGAAATACCAGAAAACTTGAACTACATAAGTACATCATGGCTGTTTGAATTAAGCTTCAAAACAGATGAACTTAAGTCATTTGTTTGTCCATTACATTGCCTAACATTAATTTCAAATTTTCTAAACTGGCATCCTGATTATTAGTTGGCCCTGCATAAAGCTGCCCAAAAAAAATAAACAATATGAAGATCTATTTATACTTATATTGGTATTGATATTTCCATCTAGCGACGGTGTATTAAATATATCTAGAAATAGAAAGAAATCATGGCTTAGGGTTTAGAGAGATAGGGAAAAATGGCAGACCTCTTGATATAATAGTAACAAAAGTCAACCAAGATGAATGTTTGGACAATTTCTGCGAGGATGGCCATGGGGAACCACAAGTAACCATACCCGACCAAGAACAGATAAGTCCCTCCTGTCTCATAGACCTTACGTATACCATATATATAGCAACGGTTAACATTAATGCGTTAGTCATGATTATTAACAGATTGTGCAGAGAGTCAAAAAATTAACCTGGATAATCCAATTAGCGCAGGAGAGGAACCTGGCAACACCAAGTGCAAACACATAATGGGCCGTAACCGGTTCGATCATCTGTAATATTGAATAAACTATCATGAAACCAACATCTCTGGTTTCTTATTTATACACGTGTGTAGGCATATATATATTTATATATGAAACCTTTGCATTCTGCATCATGCGAAGCTGTGGCGTAACTGAAACAGCTTCCAAATAAACACAAAAGGCCCAAAGAAGACGACTGATGTACATATCAGAACCGCGTGGGTGGATTAGCACAGCAAGTATGGCACAGGGCACCACCTGTGAATTACATTTACGTATATATAACATCGTAAAGTATGTGTTAAAGAAACACAATGAAATGTGTTTTGTCTTGTAATAATTTTGCGATTACCATACTGTAGAGGGGAAAATTATCAAGGTCCTTGATGTAGGTAGACTTGAGGTTGGACCGAATCATGAATATAAGCCATGCAGTGAAAACGAAGGTGGCTAAATCCAGCAGTGTATGGATGTCACCTTCCAGCATGAAGCTGCACACTACTCTTACTGCTAAAAACATCGCCGTGAGTTCTTGAGACTTCAACGAAAGGCCTTAAGAAGAAAACACAGAGTCTTCGTTTATTGATAATCAGCATGATAATAAACAATGCTATAATCATTGAATATATATATATATATATATATATATATATGTACCAGAACATGTCCTCTTGGTAGTAAGCTTGTAAATCAAAGCAACAATCCCAGTGGCGTGGGTGAGCTCGGAGGCAATAAAGAAGTGATTGTTGTCTTTCAGTATGAGCTTCATTGCGGTGAAAGATAACACCAACGCCATTACTGCAAGGAAGACCTTCAGCAACATTGGTTGCTTCCATATCCAATATTCGAACACCTCTTTCATCGCCGATTTTGAATCTTTTTTACTCCCCATTTCCACCCTTTTCTTTACGCAGAGATTCAGAGAAGAGAAGATGGATAGTTTTGAGAGTAAAAAAGGTGGCGTTTTGGAGAGTTGTGGAAATGGCAGATTGGACACTGTGAGAAAGAGACAAAGGAAAAGTCGCTTTTGGTGAAGACACGAATAGCGCATGCAGGAGGCCAGGGTGAATTATGTGGCATTAATGGCATTTGACGTGGATTTCCTTTTTCATGATATGAAGATTAACCAAATAACGAAATTGGAGCATTTTCCTGCTGATGTGACACTAAAGGATCTAAAAATTAAAAAATAACTCTAAAATTTTATTTAATAATGAATATACGTTTAATCCTTAATAGGCTTAAGGCATCTGCCCCTACAATTTGGTACAATAGTCTTTTATCCACTTAAACGTAGGAGACTTGATGCATCTGCCCAATGATTTGGTACAGTCATTTTTATCCTTTAAAATCCAAACCTAAACTCATTTAAAATTTTATCCTTTTTAATGTTTGTACTTATGGACTAAACTGAATATTTAAATTTAAAATTTAAAATTTAAATCAATTTTTTATTAATTTTAAATAATTATAAGATAACATATACTTATAAAGCCTTCTAACTTATTAACGATGCACACATATTGAAGTAATTATTCGAACCCAAAACCTATAACCGTAAAAATTAGTGGTGAATTCACATATATCTTAAGATGGGCACGTGTTCACCTTATAATCCAATTTTTTCGATTAGTTATCTATTTTATTAGTAAAGTCGACTCTGAAATTATATTTATGTCTACTTCATTCAAAAATTTTATATTGTTAACATACGTGTGTCATCCTATAAAATAATTGTAAATTTACTTATAACGTACTTTTTTTTACTATTGAAACTATTTAATGATTTTAGTTTAAACTAAATTTAGATAAAATTTATCTTAATTAAAATAATAAAATATTGATAAACTGAAAAGACTAAATGAATTTTTATAATAAAACTATAAAATGTTTTTAAAAATATCGACAAAATTTGGATTAAAAATATCTACATAACAGGTCTGTCTTTTTTATATTAATCAACTGGCAATATATATTATATATATTAGAGGTGGGTATACGGGCTATCCGCCCGTTTAGTCCGCATGTTTTGACGGTGCGGACTTAAACGGAGCGGTTTAAAAAGCCCGCATTCATAAACGGTTTTGAATTTTAAGGCCCGCGAGTAAGCCCGTTTAACCCGTAAATAAAAATAATTTTAAATGCTTTAAATGCAATAAAAATAATATTCTAACTTGCTACACCTTTAAAAATGATCTAGTAACTTGAAAAGGAAGGTGACACTGTTAAAATAATAAATAATATTTAAATTCCATTTTAAATAGCCGGAAATAATTATAAAATAATATTTTTTTAATCTTTTAATCATTAATATATATATAACGATATAATTACTTAAACTCAAAATTAAAAAAACAATATTCACTTATATCACCAAATTGAAAAACAAATAAAACAATAACCACATTATACTTTTATAAAACACGATTACTCAAGACTATAATATGAAGACACAGAAGTGTCTGCAAACAGAAATTCAAACATAAAAATTCAACAAAGTTAAACATTATACAAATCTAACAATTTTCCTTTTGTAAAAGCCTTTAAAAGTTGAAAAGTATGTTTTCAATATTTTCTTTTATTTTTCTTTCTTATTTTTAATCCAAATATTACGTGTCATGTGATATATTATTAGAATATCGCGTGACTTTTTATAATTAAAAAACGAAATAGATAACATACTTCATGAAAAAAATAAAGGTCAAAATTAAATAAAAAAAGCTTTAAATGCCAAAGTGACAATGATGTAAATTTTATAAGACTAAAATACTATATAAATCTTTTAACTTTTATTTTTTAAAATGAATAATAATTTGATACATTGTAAATGAAAAAAAAAATATCAAGCAACGGTAGAATTATGATAAAGGCCCTAATAAATTTAAGAACTACAATGGTTATAAATAACATCATATTTATAGGTAATTTATTTTCTTTTTCTATAAAATTCTTTAAGTTTATTTTCTCTAAATTTTATAAATTTTAAATTAAGCGGGCTATTGCGGGCTACCCGCTGTTATACCCATTAAACCCACGGGTTTAACGGTCCAGACTAAAAAGTCCGTAATTTAAATGAGCTGCAGTTTTTGATGTCTAAACCCCGTATGGGCCACGAGTTAAACGGGTAGCCTGCGGGCTTTAACCCATATACCCACCTCTAATATATATAGAAAGAACAGTAAGATCTAATATATAAAACTTTTTAATTTTAAGTATAATCATCCATTTATATTTTTCTAATGAACTTAAGTTTATTTAAAATCAAATAGCTTTACACTATTTTATTCTTGCCCCATATATTATAATCGGGGTGTTGTCAATTCGTTACCAACCCACAACAGTTGGTGAAGTGGTGCACGTGATTTGCAGGCAGGAACTAGCAGACAACAAGCCCAATGAGATAGGGTTTTTTTGTCGGTTCACATGCCACCGAAAATATATTTTTTTAAAAGTCCAAAATTTTTAAAAATCTTAAAAACCTCCTCCAAACTTTAAAAACCCTAAACCTAGTCCTTATACCCATACCCATCACCGTTTGTCACCGATTGAACTTCCACTTGACAGCCCGTCCACCAAAGATCAGTTACTCGACGAACAACCACCATAACAACAGTCAAATACTCCTAAATTTACGACAAAAGCTACCCCGACGCTAATCTTTGAACGCGACGAAACGACAATCATCGCGAATCACATTAAGGACGCACCATCCAAATACGGAGATTGCAAGGACAATGTCAGTGTCAGTGGTTGGAAAGGGAGAAGGAATTAGGGTTGGGGATTTGAGGATTTTATGGATCTAAGGCTTTTTGAAATTCTAGAAAAAATAACGTTTTTAAAATAAATATAGTATTTTGTTAACAATTATCAGAGTATGACACATGTCTATTAATAAATTTTGAACGGCATTATGATCCGAGCACCTATAGTGTTAACGTTAGGCACCTGGATGATTCAAAAAATAATTTAGACACCAAATTATAAAAACGGTATAGTTTGGACACCCATTTTATAATTAAGCCATAAGAAATTGAGGAAAAGTACGAAGGCAACCACTAAGCAGGGTCTTGCAATGCTGGCGTTTGACCTTACGTCACCGTTGAAAGAAGGCAACTCTTAAGCATTTGATTAGGGTTTGAATCTAAAGTTAATCAACATTTATTAATCATTCACCTGACATATCCTTTGAAGGCTCTGTTTTCCAGGTTTGGTGAGACATAGATCCCATGTCGAACTTTCGGGAATTTATACGGTGTGGTCCATAATATACAGTTAAAAAATAAGATATAAATTTTGTTATTATTTAAATAATAAAATGAGTAAAAAATTATTTTAAATATTATTATTTCTATCTAAAAATTAATATTTTTTTTAATATTTTTGATAAAATGGTTAACAATAACAAAATCGATAAAAAAATAATAAAACCGGTAATGTTTTACCGATTTTATTAAGAAACTCAGTAAAATATCCACTAATAATAAAATCGATAACGCTTTAATAATAGTAATTTTTTACTTATTTTATTATTTAAATAATAACAAAACCAATAACGTATTTTTTAACAATATATTAAGACGCACCAAGTGATCGTTCCCCGAACTTTCTCATACCCATTTTCTTTATAAAAAGCAGCGCAATTATATTGAAGTTTGGATCTGGTAAAGAAGAACCATTAATCATATCTATTAAACTCGATGATAAGTAAATTAATTTTTTAGAAATAAATGAAATAATTTAAGGGTAAAACTTAAAATGGTCCCCCGACTATAGAATATTACTTTATTAAGTCCATCAACTATTAAAATTTATAAAATAATCACTCGACTATTCATTATGTTCCAACTTTCAAACTCATCATTTCCGTTAAAAATTTGACAATTGTATAAGCTGGACATTAACTCGATGACTGAGATATGATAATTGTTTGAGATATTGGGATCATATTTTATCATATCACAGTTAGTATGTTAACGTTCAACTCAGAATACCGTCAATTTTTTTTATCGAAAAATGACGAGTTTGGAACATAATGAATAGTCGAATGATTATTTTGTAACTTTTAATAGTCGAATGACTTAATAAAATAATATCTTATAGTTAAGGGACCATTTGTACACTTTACCCATAATTTAATTCTTTTTGATTTAAAATAAAACAAGTAAAGATATTATTTTAGATTATTTTAAAAATAAATAAAACAATTTGTAAATAAATAAAACTATAGATACTTGAACAATACACTCAAACTGACAACTTCCTATTTAAATATCTTCAATGTTGAAAATTCAGAAATATATATCTTCGATTTGTTAAATGTTTAATTTTTATATTGACACCCCTCATATTTTCAATATTTATTTTTCACTATATTTACCAGATATCCTAAAAAAAATACGTGGATAGCACATAATAATAAATTTCAATGTGCTCCACAGTGGCAACCAAAACTTCTCTTTCGCTTTTCCTTTATTTAAGGGTGCATTTGGTTAAATTATCAGTGAGAATATAAGATTACTAGGGAATAGGATTACTGGAAATATTGTATTTTGTGTTTAGTTGGTTTAGCAGGAATGTAAGATTACCGTGTTTAGTTAAAGGAATAAAAGATTATTGGAATGTATATTTTACCAAATTATCCTTATTATATATTTGTTTTTTAATAAGTTAAAAAAATATTTATATATTTTATTTAAAAAAATTTAAATTAATAAAAAATATTTAATTTTTTTTACAAAATTAAAAATATAAAAAAGTTGAATGAAAGGGTAAAATTTTATTTTAACTCCTGAATTTTATATAAAATTTTAATTATAGATTTTTTTGTAAATCTAAAATAATTTAAGGATAAATTTATAATTTAATCTTCATAGAATTTTTATTATTTGACAGAAAATGATATTTTTGAAAAAAAAAATATAGAAATTTTAGTCTAAAACGCCTTTAATCAAACAATACCTAAGGAAATGAAGATAATGACATTTTCGGTAATATACCGTCAAAAATCTTCTATTGGTAACAAAACATTACCGAAAATGAGATTCTCGACTTACCAAATATGAGAATGTGAATTCTATTCGTATAAGAATCTCATATTCCCCGAATCAAATAGCCCCTTATTCATTGAGCCGCCGCCGTCATTTTCCCCCAACGCAAATGGCTCTTACGGATGACAAAACCTCCGGTTGCTAATTGCTTTTGGTCTGATTTAAATATGTTTTTTACTTCAAAATTTCTCTCCCTCCCGTAATATTTTTGGTTTTTATCCACACATTTCAAAGATCAACGGCAACCCTACATATCAATCCTATTCCATTGGATCCGCCCCTTCTCCTCCTCCTCCTCCTCTACCCGCATCTATTTCCCAAAGCTTATATTTTCCCGTCTTTCTTCTGCGTCCGGGAGACTTGTATTTAACAGGTTTCTGTTCGAAATATGGGTTTTGAATTAACATTCGTAATATCTGTTTGATTTCTGGGTTTGGGATTTTATCTCTTCTTTGCTTTGGCATCGAGGTTGGTTGTTTGTTATTTTTTGTCAATGGGCTCTTTGGATGAGGACCATTTATGCGTTGAGATTGAGAATGGAATGAAGGTGGGTTTTGAGGAAGAGCCTGAAACCATAGCTATCGAAGATGCTGTCAAAGTTCTATTGCAGGGTTTGGGTGAGGATGTCAACAGAAAGGGTATTGTTAAAACTCCCCTTCGTGTTGCCAAGGCACTTCGTCAAGGAACAAGAGGTGCCTTTTCATTTATTCATTCATTCCCAGTAATTTAACGAGATCTGCGTTTTTTTTACTTAGTTTTAGATTTTAGACATGATTCAAGAAGGTTGTTTATTACTTGAATCTTTACTCGAAATATTTTGCAATCAATAAGCTTTGTTGATTATGTTTTAGGTTCGATAGAGTAATACCAGACCAAGATTGGTTTGTTGTTTGTACAAAGCTTTTTAATGTTCAAAATAAGGTTGTGTTTGCTCGTGTACATGTTCTCGTAATCTCATGTTTTGTGCCGAGTTTCGATCTTTCCATTTTCTTCTTCAGGTTACAAGCAGAAAGTGAAAGATGTTGTCGAGGGAGCTTTATTCCCTGAAGCGGGTTTACATGATGGAGTTGGTCATGCTGGAGGACTAGGCGGGATTGTGATCGTTCGAGATCTCGATCTATTCTCGTATTGTGAGTCATGCTTGCTTCCGTTTCAGCTCAAGTGTCATGTAGGTTATGTGCCATCGGGCCAGCGGGTTGTTGGCCTAAGCAAACTCTCGAGGGTAGCCGATGTGTTTGCAAAACGACTGCAAGACCCGCAGCGTTTAGCCGATGAAATATGTTCGGCTTTGCACCATGGAATCAAGCCAGCAGGGGTTGCTGTGATACTTGAGTATTTGCATTTTCATTTCCCTAATGTCGAGTCAGTCTTTCTGGACTCGAAGCATCAAGGATGGGTAAAAGTGCTTGTGTCTTCGGGATCTGGGATTTTCGGAAATGAAAATACCGATGCTTGGGTTGATTTTCTTGGTCTTCTGAAGTTCAGAGGTGTAACTGCGGAGAAAATTCTCACCAAAGACTCTGCAAAACAAAATTGGTGTCCTTCACATTCTTCACCCATGGCTAAAATTCCGACCGAGCTTGAAGCAGACAACCCTGAAATGGTTGCTGCAGTAGCATCAATACTCAGATCTTTGGGTGAAGATCCATCAAGGAAAGAGCTTGTGGAAACTCCTGGCCATTTTGTGAGGTGGTTGGTGAACTTTCAGGATACGAAGTTGGAGATGAAGCTGAATGGCTTCGCTTGCGGCATAACCGATCTCCTTAAACCTAATGGGGAAGTCGGCTCGCGCAACAACAAACATATGCATTCAGAGTTGAACCTGTCATTCTGGTCACAGTGTGAACACCATCTACTTCCCTTTTATGGTGTAGTCCATATTGGATACTTCTGCCCTAAAGGATTTAATCACATCGGAAAGTCGCTTTTACAGTCGATAGTACATTTTTACGGGAAGTGCAGGAAAGACTTACGAGGCAAATAGCCGAAACGGTTTCATCTATCTTAGGTGGGGATGTCATGGTAGTTGTGGAGGCTAACCACACCTGTATGATATCTAGAGGAATCGAGAAATTTGGAAGTAACACGGCTACGATTGCCGTGCTAGGCCAATTTGCAACCGATCCGGCTGCTAGGGCGATGCTTTTACTGAGAATTCCAGACGGTTCTCAAATATCATAGCTATTCTTTTTCAGACCCTCAGTTCATGTTTTACCATACCAGTATGCAGCAGTGATTGAAAATGGTAAAATTTTATATTTTTATACTGTATACTCCATGGATTGCAAAGAAAATTTCAGCTTGGGGCCTGGTTATGTTCCAAATCCAGTTTTATTATTGAAGGCAGGAGTTCCATTTATGGCACCATATTTAGAATTTATGGTTCCATCGGTACTTTTCTTTGCATACGATTCTTCCTTATAGACCCCAATGTTGCAGAAATTTAAACACCATAATTATACAACTTGGAGAATAATTACTCTTGATTTTAACTTTTTTGTTCTATCCTTTTCTGCTTTTAATGTTCAGGTGATCTAATGCTTATAAATTCATGATTTATGTGAAAGTGTTTTAAATAGAAAGATGCATTTATGTTAAATAAAATACAAACTTTGCAAGGAGAGTTCATGAGAAGTCCTTTGCAATCATCATCTTGAAAAGCTTTGAATATTTATTAATTTCATAACAGAACACGGTGCACAGATCTCACACAAATTATTTAAATTACCAGCAAAAAACGAGGAAGATTAAAATAATAAAACTCACGGACCAACATTTGTATGGTTCCAAATACTGGAGTACTTTTAATTATACAAATGACTCGTAAAGAGTATAAAACTAGTGTACGTATCAAGTATTCTTCATAAAATTAGGGCTCAACAATAATCTTGCCAGTGGCATGACCATCCATGCTCTTGGCCCAAGCCTCTCCAACGTTACTCAGAGGATACTTGGAATCGATGACTGGCTTAAGCTTCCCTTCTTTCACCAACTTGACAAGGAACTCGAGGTTCTCTTTCTTAGGTGCGGTAAACACGGTTGAGATCTGCTGCTTCGAGAAAGTGAGCTTTTTCAGAGCAATACTCATCATGATACCCAAACCAGGAGTGGTGTCCACTACTTTCGCATTGGGAGTCAAGCTAGCCTGGAAGGTAGACCAAGGAGTGCTGGTCGTACAGTGGATGACCGTGTCGTATTTGAGACCGGAAGGGCTCTTTGCTACTTTCCCATCGGGGGTCTTGTAGTCGATAACCTCATCGGCTCCCAGACTCTTGATTAAACCCATGTTACGAGCCCCGCAGGTGGCGGTCACGTGTGCATTTGCAAGCTTTGCTAATTGGACTACATATGTACCTACACCACCTGAAGCAGCGGTAACCAGGAGATTTATTTTCGGGTCGGTTCCGTCGAGTTTGAGCCCTGCATTTTGGGTGAGTGACTGGTGAGCTGCGAGGCCAGCGATCGGCAAAGCTGCAGCTTCAGCAGCAGATACCTCTGGAGGCCTTGAAGCTGTGGAAACCTCCTTAGCCACAGCGTATTCAGCTAGTGCACCTCCGTTCTGTCATTTTGCAAAATGCATTCCTTTAATATTACGGAAGGTGCCTATTTTCATGGAAAAACAATTTAAAAACTAGAACGAAGACTTACACCAAGTGCGGTGACAACTTTATCCCCAGCTTTGAAACTCTTGACCTCTGATCCAACCTGCACGATTTCTCCAGCAGCATCGATACCTGCTCCAACAAATGGCTCTTAAGCAAATATTCGAACAATGAAAACAAAAAGCAATGCCAAAGCCCAAGAGCAAAGTATAAGTACCAGGAACGTGGGGGAATTTGCGAGGTAAAAATGGCCGCGCATATCCACTCTGTAATCTCCAGTCGATGGGGTTAATACTAGCTGCCTCTACTTTGATCAAAACTTCGTCTTTTCCTGGGGTGGGAACAGGCACTTCAACAACCTGCAACGGGCATCAAATTCACAGTGGTTATCCATGTTTTCCAAGTCTTACCAAAGAAGGAAAATGCTGCAAATGCACGCAAATTTATCGGATGGAAGAAAAGTAAAAGTTTGAAAAATGAAGCCGTCAAGTTTGAAACGGCTGCAAGAACAAGGAAACAAATTCAAAGGAATTGATCAAAAAGACGCGATGCCTTGACCAATACCCTATGAATTTATCCATGTTACTGATGAGTTTTGACTCAAAATTAAAAGAAAACGAACTTAGTATTTACATGCAATCAAAATCCTAAAGAAATCATGGATTTTTCTATAAAAAGAAGTAAATTGATATAAAAACATTCACGATGCTTGAGTGGATAGATCCAGTCCAGAGTCTCGAAGGCGAGTATGAGAAGAACAACACCGATGGCGGTGAAATTGAGCGATTGAAAAAACACTAGCAACTGTACAAAAATAAAACAAAATAAAAAGAAGCAAGTAGATTACCTTCAAATCGGCGACTCCTCCGCCATATTTACTGTACTGAGCGGCACGCATCAGATTCCTGGCCATTATTTCAAAATTTTGCAATAGGAAACGAAAATCGCAGCTCTTTTTTCAAGTTTGTGGGAAGACAAAGATGAGGGAGAATTGATGGGATGCTGCTAATGGCGTCAGGTACAATGAATTTATAGAGATGCACATAATTCTTCCCCACCTAAAAGTAATAATTGACTGCAAAGATAGGGTAGTTATTATGCAACTTAATATAAGATTAAGAAAAAATATTATTTAAAATATTAATATTTTTTTAAAAAATTATGATATAATGTTATTTAAAATATTATTTTTTATTAAAAATATTAATTTCGCTACTTAAAATAAATATTTTCGATATTAATCTGATGAAGCATTGAATTTTAATTGTCTAACTATACTTAAATTGTTGTTATATTTTTATTTAGTTACTACTAGAAAGGATAATTAAGTCTTTATAATATCTTCAGCCGGCAAAGGAGATTATCAACATTTCCCGGTCTGGCGGCTATTTCTTTAAAATTAAATAAATTGGAAAGTCAAGTTGGTTCCGCTTTCTATTCTTCCATACAAATTGGTTCCTGATGCGACAAAAACCTATGAAAATTTATTTTAATTTCTCATTATCGAACAGTTCTTAGTCTAAATTCATTGAATGTTAAAATTATGGATAGAGTGCACAAATAGTACCTTAATTATATGGTATTGTGCTGTTGAGTCTCCATACTATCAAAAGTTATAAAATAATTCTTTAATTATAGGATTCTTTTTAATCCCCGACTATTAAAATTTATAAAATGCTCACCGATTCAATATGTTCCAAAATTCATTATTTTTTGCCAAAAAAATAAACGATAAAATGAGTTGGATATTAATTTGTTGTGTGAGATCTGATAAAATATGATATCAGAATCTCAAACGGCTATCATAAATCTAACATCATATTAAAATCCAACTTAGGTTGCAGTCAATTTTTAACAGAAAATGATGAATTTAAAATTTAATAAATATTAGGTGTGACCGTTCTGTAACTTTCAATTATCGACGGACTCAACAAAATAATGTTTTATAGTTAGAGGATCATTTTATAACTTTTATTAATTGGGGGACTAAAAAATAAATATTATAGTTGAGTGACCATTTATATATTTTATCCGAAAATTAACTATACTTCCGCTATGTCAAGAAAATTTAAGGTTAATTTATAATGAATTTTAATTTAAAATATTATAAAACGTAATATTTATGTATTATGAAGAATGTAATATTTTTATTTTAATAGAATATTACTCAATTTATCTTAAAGAGTTATATATCTATAATTGTTTTTATTACAATTAATTATAATTTTTTTAATCTTATATTAATCAGTTACATTGTAAATTCTTTTATAATTAATTGTTGATAAAAATAAAATAAAAATTTTAATTTGATATAATTTTATAAAAAATTAAATATCTAAAAATAATAATATACATTCAGATTTTTTTAACAGATGACAAAAATAATGAATCGGTGGTCAAGCCACCCTCGAACGTCAAACATATCTCGAGGGAATTGTTTTGCTTTTTATTCCTTTCTAGGCTAAATTTTTTAAGGTTAAATTATTGAAATAATAATGTTAAAAAATATCTGTAAAATAAGGGAAATGTTGTAACAATAAACAAAATCGTCGGTTGATTATACGTAATTAGAAATAAAATGTAAGAAAATAAAAGTATAAGGATTGCTATTCAAATTTTTTTCACAACCCTCATTTTCTATTTTCTTATATTTTGATCCTGTAAACACATGATTTGCGTCCTTATAATGTTAATATTATTAATTTCATTTTTTTTACGGGCCTGAACATGCAACCCAACAAAGGAACCAAGCCCAGTTCAACAGCCGTGAGGAACCCTAACCCTGGCAGTGTTCTGTTCTGTGCCACAAGATCCCTCGCCTCCCTTTCCGAGTTTCACGGCCACCCGTCTCACGTCCTCCACAACTCCGATTCCTCCGGCGCAAGGATTTCATGAAGATAACAAGCCAACAAACATTAGAGTAAGAGTTCTAATAGGGGTCAAACACTTAGATTCTAGGCTATAAATAAGACATGTAATCCATTTGTAAAAGAGGGAGGAGACCAGAGATTACCACATAAATACACACAATATACTACGAGAGATCAGGGGAGATATAACAGATTCGAAGTTTTATTTTGTAACCAGTTCAGAAAGAAATAAAGGTAGCATTTTTCTTACCTTTTTTTTTGTTGGTTTTTTTCGCCTTTGCATGTTAGTATTCCTCTATGATTTGTACAAAAACAAAAGAAAGCGTTTTTAGCCGATGAACGGAGGGGCTTGGTCGGGATCTTCTTTTGTAGATCTAGCCCCCGAGGCTCGTTTTTTATAAAAAATATTTCGTTTTTCTGAAACTAGATTTAAAAAGCTTTGGAAAACAAAAAAAAAAACGGGTTTTGCCGCCGATGAACGGCGGCCGTCGCCGTTCAACGGCGGCGGCGAGGCGGCGCGAGGAGGCCAACGGTCGGCTTCTGGAAAAGGTCGCCTGTGTTCTTCATTGCTGAAGAACAAGGCAGAGAAAAGAGAAGGGGGGGGTATCCCTCGGCTTGGAGAAGAGAGAAATAAGTAATAAAAAGAAAATTTTGAGTTTTATACCTAAAACGTCCGCGTGTTCCTGTCTAAATTAGGGTAAACTACCCTTTTGGTCCCTCGTATCCTTTGAAGAGTTATTTCACCCCCAAATTGAAATTAACCCTTAATATTGCTTTGAATTTTGACCCCCTAGCTTATAGTTCTTTCAATTTGACCCTTTTTCTGGATTTTAATTTTATTTATCTATTATCTTTTTATATTACATTATAATGTTTATATATATATTTTATATTATTATTAGTTTTTTACATTCGTATATACGTATTATTAGTATATTATTATTATACTTATATGTTATATTAAATATATATGTATATATATGTGTGTATACATTTGGTATTTTATCTTATTATTTCTTTATTTTTTTTATTATATTTATCTTCATTATTTAGTTTTTCTATTACTATTATATAGATTTTTTCTCCCTCTCATATTTACTTATTATATATATGGAATTAATATTATTATATGTTTTTATTAATTTTACCTTATACGCTATTATTTTACATTCTTTATATACATGTGGACATTTTATTTAATTCTTATCATTTTACATTTGTATGTTATTTTATTTCACCTTTATTATGTTTTATTTATTTATTTATTCCTTTTTATTTTTATTTGTACATATTTGATTATAGTTATTTATCTATTTTATCTATTTTAGTTTTTTTAGTTTTTTTATTTTATTTATTACTATTATATATATCTTTTTATTTACTTTTATTGTATATATCTTTATTATTATTACCATCATTTTTATATTCTATATTTTCCTCATCTTATTTGTTTTCCATTTTACCTTAGGTGTTTTATTTGCATTCCTTATCTAATATATGTCTCGATCTTTTAAGGGTACAATTTAAGCAATCTAAGGTAAGTAATTTGGATCATCATTTTACATTTTAATTTAAATCTACAACTTTCTTAATTAAAGACAACTGGAAATTACATAGTACCGAAAGGGCAGTTTAAGGGTGCTAATCCTTCCTTAGCTGTAACCGACTCCCGAATCCGACATATCTTTGGTAAGACGCAGATCAGGTAAGATGTAAGGTATCCGATTAACCTATTTATTTTTAAATAAATAATCGGTGGCGACTCCAATCCATTTTTCAAGTCGAAGCCCAATTCCGGGGCCCAACCGAAAGACAGTTCCGACAGCTTGGCGACTCCGCTAGGGACACAGGTAAGTGGGTCAGGCTAAGGTAATTTCCAGTTGTCTTTTTAATGAAAAGGGTAAGTTTGAACTTTAAGGTAACATTTCGATCCTTATTACTTACTTTTGGTTATATTTTTTTGAGTAAATAGTTGGACTGACCGTTTTCTAATGATTTCAGTTTTCCAAACTTTTTCATCCAAAGGCTCTATACCCGAGCTCCAAACCCTTTAAGTGGGGGTGAAAGCGACGCATTCGTGTGAATTTATTCACCGCATATGCCTAGCGAGTAGCCTTCGGGATTCATATACCTTATGTCTTCGTGTGAATTTATTCTCCGCATAGACATAAGGGAATGTGTCCCCTCGAGTTTAACTTAGTCCACACAAGCCTGTGATGGGTTTAGGACTAAGGGTCTGGTAAGCCCAAGGGGGCACCAGCAAGGAGAACTCGGGTACCGTTTTTAGAACCTAAACCAGGAGACTTCGAAGAAATAGAGCCTACCCCAAAACCACATTCCAAAACCTAGGACAATTGTTTCCTAATCATTTGTTTTTTTCTTATGTTTTTATTGCCATTTATTTCTTGTTATTTTTATTTATTTTCATTATTTTTATTTTACTAACCATTTGCCTTTGTGTTTGTTTTTAGCATTTGCATCATAACAAGAGGCCATTGATCCCTAAAAAGACGTTCATTACGCACAAAATAATCTGAATTAATGGATAAAGGTGTTGTAATACAAGAGATTAAAAACCCTGAGGTACGACTATGGTCCGAGAAGACTCAGAAGGAAAAGGGAGACAGTCTTCAAGACAGCTATGTGTCAGAGCTGGTTAGCTACGCCTCGATCAGCCTAAAGCAAAATGACGTACAAGAGCTCCGGGATATCTGGGACAGTTGGAAGAATGAGGTGAAACAGAAGTTCAGCCAACGGTACGGTGATGTTGCACTTTTGCTTCATGTTAAGATTGATGAGCCCTTAATTAGAGCCTTGGTTCAATTCTGGAACCCGGGATACAGTTGCTTCACCTTTAACCGGGAAGACATGGTGCCCACCATAGAAGAGTACACTACACTGCTGCATTGTGAAAACATCAAACTCGAGCGGGCCTACCTTAAGCACATTAAAAGTCAACCTTTCAAAAATACACTAGCTAAGGTTGCCGGAGTTGATGAAAAATGGGTAACTGACCGAGCTCGATGTAAGGGTAGTGGAGAAGGAATCGCTTGGCTTCATATCAAACAACTAATGAAGCACCATCCCGATGAGTGGAAGACAATAGACCTGTTTGCATTAGGTCTGTATGGTCTAATTTTATTTCCAAAGACCT